AGCAGTGATGCTTTGTTTATCAGGGAGGAACAGAAAGAAAATTATGCTTGGGGTTATGCTACAGGCAGGATTTCGGCCAATGTGGTGTTATCTGTACCACAAATAGTGCCTTCTATTTATAGACTCCCATGCCACACTTAATATTCGAAATGCTGAGTCTTCAAAGGGAGTATATAGGACATTGCCTTTGGTTTTAGAAGCAGTAGAACACATATTCTAGTCTCCTAATTGGATGATATGCCATGAAGGGTTTGGGTTTTTTTAACTTCAGGATACACTGCAGAATTTAGTTTACAGTTATTCTGCTGCTGATGAATAACTGTCTGTTTAGAATAGAGGCTTCCAATGTTGGGTGACCCAGCTGTTGTTGGACTACAACTCCCAGAAGCCATCACCACCAACTGTGCTGCCCGGGGTTCCTGGGAATTGCAGTCCAAGAGTATCTGAGTTAACCAAAATTGGGAGCGACTGGTTTTAGAACCACAGTATGGTGTTGCTTGGGACTTAATGTGCATATGCGTCCCACACGCACAAAGACTGATGAACCAAAATAAACAACTTCACTTGAAGAATCCAGAGTTCCTTGGGGGAAAATGTGACATTTGGTCTTTCTAAGGTACTAGATTTTTTAAAACCAGAGCCTTCTTGTAGCTACAAATGCTCTCTCCCAGGTTCTGTTCCTTTCAGGGGTGTGCGCGCACCAGTGTCCTTGTCCTCTCAAGTTTAATTAGGCTACTTGTCTTGTTTGCATCTCTCTTGCAGGGTACCTTTCATAGTCAACAGGCTTTGGAATATGGCACCAATCTAGTAGGAGGGATCTCTCCAGGCAAAGGGGGCAAAACCCACTTGGGACTTCCGGTCTTTAACTCAGTGATAGAGGTAATGTTCTGGGAGTCAATGCAGATTGATCGTTGGCCCTCTTCCATTCAGAGAAGACTGTCGTGCTCCTAAAATATTGCTGTCTTTTAATGCAGACCAGAAATTTCTACTGGTACAGAACTAGGCTGTGGGGATGTTTGCCGGGCCAGATGTTTGGAATTTTCACCTCCTGCATTGATTGCCCTTTCATTGCTAGGCTCTGTTAAAAGTGGAGGTCTTTATCTTTAGAGCCTGGAAAGTCTGACACCAAATTATTTATGTGTCTCTGAGAACTTACTTGTTACAGAAAGGCAGTATTCTCTGACTTGATGCTAAAATGGTCAGATAGGCAGGGATTCAGGGCAGGGCCTTTTCCATAGTGGCCCCACGGTTTTGGAATTCTTTCTGCTGGGACTTTTCATGGCACTCATTGTATCAATTCTCTTTAACGACTAACTGCTGGAGGAGGAAAGCTTTTTTTGAAGGTGCTCTTACTCATGCAGTTGGATTTTGCCCATTGAATCAGTAGGATTTATATCAGTGGGGATTCATCATTAAGCAGCAGAGTCTCCTGCATTTGGGTCTGCCACTTGCACCGTGCCTTTTGACAATAAGCTGCGCTCAGGCTGATTTAACCATGAATCTGATAATCAGCTCTCAAAAGGTAAGGCAGCTGCAGAATTTCTGATGTGCTTGACCGAATATCTGAGTGGCAAGAATATACCATATTTTTCCGTGTATAAGGCTCTTCCCATGTATAAGACGCCCACCACTTTTCTAATCCAAAATTAAGACATCTAAGTGGGGCTTAGCAAGGGTGGGGGAAAAGGGATCAAAGCACTGCAGGATCGCTTTGATCCCTGCTTTCCCCTCCACTTGTTTTTGTACTCTTCTCAGCTTGCTTCCGTGTATAAGACGACCCTCAATTTTTAGTCTAAAGATTTTAGACAAAAGTATAGTCTTATACACAGAAAAATATGGTAGTTTTTCTTTTGAATGATAAGAGTACTCTTGTTGGTAAGTTGGGTGTTTCTAAAGAACGGCAAGATTTAAGTTAATGTAATTGCGTCTTAGGCTAAGGAGAAAACAGGTGCTACGGCCTCCGCCATATACGTGCCACCGCCGTTCGCAGCCGCTGCCATCAACGAAGCCATTGACGCCGAAATCTCCCTTGTTGTGTGCATTACAGAAGGTATTCCTCAGCAGGACATGGTGCGCGTCAAACACAAGTTACTTCGGCAGGACAAGACTCGGCTTGTTGGCCCCAATTGCCCCGGCGTTATCAACGTAAGGGCTCAAATCGAGTTGACATGGATTGGTAAATTTTCTTTGAGGGAATAAAGGATGTTTTTAGAAATATAGACTGGTGCATCTTGTAATTTTGGGATTTTAGCTGGTCCTTCCGGATCGGCATCATCCTGAGGACTGATCATCTTGTAATTCCTCCCTTTCTCTCCCCGATGTGCCTTTGAATAACTGTATCTTCCGGAAGTGGCTAGTGTACCTTAAAACAGTGGTCCCCAACCTTGGTGGCATCTTAGCTTGTCCTTCCGGATCGGCATCATCCTGATCATCTTGTAATTCCTCCCTTTCTCTCCCCGATGTGCCTTCCGGAAGTGGCTAGTGTACCTTAAAAGAAGAGACAGTATCTTACGCTTTTATTGTTTTATTTGTTTGGTGCATGTATATCCTATTTTCCAAGGTCATGGCAGTGCACAATGCTCTCTCCTCTCCCCATTTTGTCTTCACAAAATTCCTGTGAGGTAGGTCAGGCTGAGAGGCCCAAGATCATCAGCTAAGTTGCGTGGCTGAGTGGGGATATGAATCCAGATCTCCCAAGTTGTTATCCAGTGCTTTTACCACTACACCACACTACCTCTGCATGCCTTTCCCCCCCAGTGATTTGTAAAGGGTTTTATGGAAGCACAAGAAGGCTTCTTGATTTGCTTTTCCCTCAAGGCATGGGATTTGTGACGCGGGCATGGCCCACTGTGTATCTGGGGGTGGAGTAGGAGGCAGAGAATTTGCTCTCGGACCCACAAAACATAAAGTCCTCCATCCTACAATCTTCATTTTAAAAACGAATGTCTTCTCACTGCCAATGCTGGCATGTCATAGTATGTTCCTCCCATGTGCTGTGGTGAATGGGGAACCCTCCATAGAGCCCACCAGGATTGAGAGAATGTGTCCTGGGATATGATCTAGAATTCTTTACAAAGTTTTAGGTAGGCCAGGCATTATGGAAA